CGTGTCTTGAGCGGTATTCATTCATTTCTTATCCGGTTTAACACTTGTTTTCTATTCTTTTCATAAACCGGACACCTCTTGCACGGTTTATTCATATACCGGTTAAACTTTGAGCGGTTATTTTTGAACGGTTTGACTCTTTGACTATAAATAACAGTTTTACTATTCTTTTTATTTTTTTACCCTCGACTGTTCATCGTCGTCTCTGCTTGATATCCGCCTGCACCGTTCGATCTTGCTTTGAAGGACTTAAATCAATCATCATTCGTGTTCGTTTTCTACTCATAATCTAGGTTTTTGATTCGATTTCCATATCTTATTGCTTCATTCATTGATTTGATTTCTTTGATATTCATAGACGGTGTTCGTGTTCTTAGTTGGTTATTTTGTCATAAGTGATTTCTAATCTCTTTTTAACTAAGTTTAGACTTTGATTAGAGTGTATTTTGGTGTGTTTTAATGTTTCGTTTGAGTCTGTGATAAGTATTTTAATTTGTGTTGATTGTGTAATGTGTTTTTTTGTGTTTTTTAATCATTTCATGTTTGATTGGAAATCTCACCGGACACGGTGATAGGATTTTAATCCGTTCAACCTTAAACCGGTTGATGATTGTCCGGTTTAGTGATGTCTTGGTGAATTTTTGTTTGTCGTCCGGACTTCTAATCCGGACAACATTATTGAATGTTTTTGTTGTTTGTCGTCCAGACTTGTTATCCGGACACTTTGTTTTGAATGTTTTGAAGTGTCTTGACCGGACTACTAATCCGGTCAATGTGTTTTTGTTTTACAAATTTCCTAAGTGTTGAATTTTTTTTATTATATTTTTTTTCATTTTGTTTGTGTGTGTGTGTGATTTTTTTTTGTTTGTTTGATTTTTTATTATTCAATAATACAATGGGTACTAATAGTTTAGAATTTTTACAGGTATAATGGYTGAAATTCAACATCAGTCTGACGAGGAATCTCATATTCCCTCTGTCAGATCTGACAACCTACCTCAAAACATACCTGCCCAACCCATTGACTCTGAAACCCTATATTCTCAAATACAATATCTTGAAATCAAACCCAATAACCATCATTTTTCTTTCGATATGCCTGTCGAATATCCTATTATCTCAGAAATTTTGAAAGGCCATCCTATTTCGTATTCTTTATCTGCCTATACACAAGTTCCCATGGTTTATCTTCAGCAATTTTGGGGAACTCTTTCTATTGAAAAGGACGGAGAAGCACTATATCTTCAAGGAGAGGTCGATGAGTATGTTAGCCGTCTAACACTGAGACGTCTAAGACGAATACTTCACCTTCCTACTTCCGGACCAACTGGATTTGAAGACTTTGTATCAGACGAACAACTATGCCTTGATATCAAACTTTTAGGATATTCTGCAACATTGAATACTCCTGCTCAATTCAAGAGACGCTTTCTACCGTCAATTTGGCATCTACTGTTCTCGATACTAAATCGGTGCTTAACTTCAAAAACTCAAGGAATTGATACTTGCAGTAGCACATTCTTAAAATTCTTCCATGGCATAGTGTTTTCTCGACATTATGACTATGCATTGGTGATTTGGAATGAATTGCTAGAGTTGGTTAATGCTAAACGATTCCCGTCCAAGGCAAGAAAGTTTGTGCCTTTTCAACGATTTCTGCAAATGATTATTAAAGCTATGATGGATGCGAATGAGAATATTTCGGCCAGAATACATTCAGAAAAAGGGCCAGCATTTGTCATGACCAGAATTCGACAACATACGGAAGTTGAAGACATGGATTCTATTATGCTTGTGCCATCAGAGTTGATTGCTTTTGTTGATCAGAATGCTAAGTGTGTTATAGACTATAGAAGAGTGATAGATCCGATAGTTCAGCCAGAACCGGTTGAACTTGCCCAAGGATCACCCCATG